ATCACAGTGTTGGGCGACAGGGAGGAGTACAAGATCAGCAAGTACAGGGACATAAGCCAACAGTATCAGTTTGTCCCAGTGGGATCAGAGACCTTGGGATCATGGGGAAAAATGCCACATGCTTCCTTAAAGAATTGGGTTCCAGACTCATTGACACCAGGGACCCAAGGGCAACCACTTTCTTAATACATTGTACCATTGTATTCATGTTTGTGTTTTTCTGCAAATGTATTCTGTTTATTAATAAATGTTCACATAGAATATAAAATATAGGGGATGGTAGAAGAAAATATTCAAACAGCTCCGGGGAGGACCTTGAGTTTTCCCTGAGGTACGTTTGTCTTCTCTGAGGATGAGGGTCCCCATTCCAGCTGTAGAGGTGGTACTTTTCTTAGGTAGTAGGTTGGTAGACAGCAACCGCCCAGGGAGGTACTACCGTCCTGCCAAATGAGTGTAAAACGAAAGCCTGTAATTGTTTTACATGATGGTAGGATTGCTGGTGTCCATTTTTCTGTCTCATAAACATGCAAGGTTTCAGGTACGTCTTGCTACTTCTACTTACACTTAGGTCACACTACACATACCTGTACAAGCATATATATATACACACCCCTCTGGGTTTTCTTCTATTTTCTTACTAGTTCTTGTTCTTGTTTATTTCCTCTTATCTCCATGGGGAAGTGGAACAGAATTCTTCCTCTGTAAGCTATGTGTGTTGTAAGAGGCGACTAAAATGCCAGGAGCAAGGGGCTAGTAACCCCTTCTCCTGTATAAATTATTAAATTTAAAATGAAAAACTTTCGTTTTTCTTTTTGGGTAACCCTGCCTTGGTGGGATACGGCCAGTTTGTTGAAAAAAGAAAAAGAAATATATGTATACAGACTCTCCTTACTTAGCGACGTACTCGTTTACCGACGACTCGGACTTACAACGGGCTTTCTGACCAGTATGCATATTTAAATAATATATATTAGAGCTGATTTCCTCTATTCTGTTTATTACAATATACAGTATACTACTGTATAAACATTTAAAAATATACCAGAAATGTTATAAATGGTGCAAAGGTGACATTAAAACAATATCAAAGATGGTTGACACAAACCCACTACCATTATAGTATACTCCACACTTAGTGACAAATTCGTTTACTGATGTGGTCTTAGGAACAGAACTCCATCATTAAGTGAGGAGAGGCGGTATGCAGTGGAACCCAGGTTTTCGTCTTTAATCTGTTCCAGAAGGTCGGTCGAAAACCGATTTGTACGAAAACTGAAGTAATGTTTCCCATAAGAAATAATGTAAATCCAATTAATTCATTCCAGACACCCAAAAATATTAACAAAAAATATGTTTTATAGAGAATAACTATAATTTTTCATACAGAAAACAATGAGAAATAAATACAGTGGACCCCCGCATAACGATCACCTCCGAATGCGACCAATTATGTAAGTGTATTTATGTAAGTGCGTTTGTACGTGTATGTTTGGGGTCAGAAATGGACTAATCTACTTCACAATATTCCTTATGGGAACAAATTCGGTCAATACTGGCACCTGAACATACTTCTGGAGTGAAAAAAATATCGTTAACCGGGGGTCCACTGTATAATTGACTAATGAAATGGATAAATAAACATTTAACCTCACTTTTACCTTTATTGAAGACTGCTTAGCTCTTCCATGTGGTCGTTCACCAACTCGTCCACATCCTGGCCACTCACCCCCAATCCCACGGACTTCCCCAAAGACACAGTAGATTCCACAACAAGCGTAAGATGATCAGGGCAGCCTCAAACCCTTCTGGCTCAGTGAATGAGTAACAAAGGCAGACTGAGTCACGAACATATGAGCTGCCACGTCCCTCAGGCAGGTGGACGCATCTAGTACAGACGATTTCCGAGCAGATGTGTGAAAACGGGGAAAATTTCTCCGAAAAAAGTGGTTGAAGACTGAATTGTATGATAACTGGACCGGACGAAAACTGGGGTTCCACTGTATTTACGCTACTGTGTTGTTCACAATTTACATAAACGACATAGATGAGGGAATAAATAGTGACATAAGAAAATTTGCTGATGACACCAAAATAGGCCGTCCAATTCATTCTAATGAGGACACTAAAGCACTCCAGGATGATTTGAATAGACTGATGCAATGGTCGGAGAAGTGGCAGATGCAGTTTAATACTGACAAATGCAAAGTTCTAAATGTTGGACAGTTAAATAACCATGCCACATATAAACTAAATAATGTTGATCTCAATACTACTGATTGGGAAAAGGATTTAGGAGTTCTGGTTAGCAGTAATCTAAAACCAAGACAACAGTGCATTAGTGTTCACAATAAGCTAACAGAATTTTTGGCTTCATATCTAGAAGTATAAATAATAGAAGTCCTCCGGTTGTTCTTCAACTCTGTATATCCTTGGTTAGGCCTCATTTATACTATGCTGCTCAGTTCTGGTCACCGTATTACAGAATGGATATAAATGCTCTGGAAAACGTACAGAGGAGGATGACAAAGATGATCCCATGTATCAGAAATCTTCCATATGAGGATAGACTGCGGGCCCTGAATCTGCACTCTCTCGAAAGGCGTAGAATTAGGGGGGATATGATCGAGGTGTATAAATGGAAAACAGGAATAAATAAAGGGGATGTAAATAGCGTGCTGAAAATTTCCAGCCAAGACAGGACTCGCAGCAGTGGTTTCAAGTTGGAAAAATTCAGATTCAGGAAGGATATAGGAAAGCACTGGTTTGGTAATAGAGTCATGGATGAGTGGAACAAACTTCCGAGTACAGTTATTCAGGCTAAAACGTTGTGTAGTTTTAAAAATAGGTTAGATAAATACGTGAGTGGGTGTGGGTGGGTGTGAGTTGGACCTGACTAGCTTGTGCTGCTGGATCTGGTGCCGTGCTCCATCCTTGAGTGGAGGTGACCTGACTGGGTGGGTCATTGGGCTAATCGGGGGGGGGGCATGGACCTGCTCCGCATGGGTCAGTAGGCCTGTTGCAGTGTTCCTTCTTTCTTATGTTCTTATATGCTGTACGTGTGCCAACTGTAAAATTTTTTTTGCACTTTACAAGAACTATCCAGATACAGTGTATATTATACATTTCTTTTTCTACAAAGATACTGTACAGTATATGCATTGTGAACTATATATAATAAATATGAGCTTACCATCTAGAGCTACTCGTTAATGTTTGAAATTACATGAAACTTCTGGAGAGAATATTCCTTTTACTTTTCCTTAGTATTTGTATGAATGAGTATTCCCAAACAGTATGCATACCAAAATTTCAGACTTGTGTAGAAAGCCTAAAATTATGGCCTAAGAAAGGTTGGAGGGAGGGGGTAAGTAAGGTTTTGTATGCAAGGGGCTTGGACTTCGGGCAAGCATGCATGAGTGTGTTAGATAAGAGCAAGTGGAGACAAGTGGTTTTTATGACTCAGTGTGCTGTTGGAGTGTGAGCAAGTTAACATTTATGAAGGGATTCAGAGAAACTGGCAGGCTGGACTTGAGTCCTGGAGGCGGGAAGTACAGTGCCTGCACTCAGTAGGAAGGGTGTTGATAAGTTGCAGTTTTATAACTGTAGTGTAGGCACACCTCTGGCAAGACAGTGATGGAGTGAATGATGATGAAAATGTTTCCTTATTTTTTTTTTAGTTATCCTGCCTTGGCGGGAAACGGCTGATGTGTTAATAAAAAAATAAAAAAAAAAATTGTGGAACCTAATCAGAACTAATCCTTTCAGGGTTGACAGGCCCTCTCAAGAGACTTGTTCTCAGGGTCGCCCAAATTTCAAAAAAAAAAAAAAAAAATCTTATGAAAAGATAGAGAATCCTTTCCCGATCACAATGACACCAAAAGTATGAAATTTGATGGAAAACTTACGGAATTATGCTCTCGCGAAGTTAGCGGTCTCGACGATGTTTACGCATCGGCGATTTTGCCCACTTTGAGCCCTATTTTCGGCCAATTCCAGTGTGCTTGTCGACAAAAATCATAGCTATTTTGCTAGAACTACATTTTTTCTATCGAATGAGTATGAGAAACCACCCATTTACCGATTTCAACTATCCAATAAAGTGGTCAGAATTTAACAATTTTGCCATTTTCACACAACATGACTCAAGAAATCGTAATGACACGATTGCAAACAGCGGGTTCAATCCCGGCTGGGGGTATGGTTTAATTTCACACAAATTTCAAAAGATTCCAATTTCCGAATAGGGTCCAGAATAAACAAGAAAGACATTACTGGCACTAAAATAACATTTCCTCTGTTCATTAGTCACGTCCCCACTCCCCTCTTACATTCTTTTGCTTTCCACTTTGAATTTTTATTCTCACAAAAAAATAGAAGATTTACTGTTATGCAGATTACTGAATTAGTGTAGAAATGGTATAAATAATATCAGCGCACTTGTAAAAGAATATTAGACTCACCAGTTGACGTGTATTGGACGCTTAGCATGATTTGTTTACTTTTGGACTTTGGTAAAAATCGAACATTTCTGCTACTTTGAGCTCAATTTCAAGATACTTTTCATTGTAAAACCAGTCAAAATCATCTCAATTTCTGTAATATGTCTTTCATTCTATAAAATGAGACCAGGAAAACTAGAATACAACAATAAATACCATACGAAAATACAGTGAAAAGTCTCTGTTTTGATCCAAAAACACGGTCAAGTTTTTTTTTTCTCATTACGCACTATGTGCTGCAGGATTTTTTTTTATACCACGCACACTGACCACATAGACCCATTCTTTCATATGTAGGCCTACCAGCTTTCTCTCATTATATTTGAGGGCGCTAGAATTTAGGCGTACTAGTACGTCAAAAACCCTGGTGCGTAAGCCATACTAGTTCAGCCGAAACCCTGAAAGGGTTAAAAAAAATCACAAAATGCTTTATGGTTACACAATATAGCCCTAATACATTGTAAGTGGATTCTGTATTCATGCAGTGGGTATGATAGTTACACAAGTGGTGGGCCTCCTGCTGCCCAGAAATTGAAGGTGCTGTTGAAGGGCTGGCCAGTGCTCATCCAGATCCACATAGCTGACCCCAGCTGGTTACCGCTTGTCCAGTAAGCACTTTTAGCATGGCCTGGTGGAAGAATTACACTTTATTATGTTTAGTGGTGACAGTGATAGATTATTGCTACAGCTCTAACATAAATGTTCAAAATTTAAGCATTTCTTATTTCAGTAGTTTTGCACCTTTGACAGATTTATCACTGTACATGATATTATTGTAAGTACAGTGGACCCCCGCATAGCGACCTTAATCAGTGCAAGAGGGCTGGCTGTTAAGCGAAATGTTCGGTATGCGAATGAATTTTCCCCATAAGAAATAATGGAAATCAAATTAATCCGTGCAAGACACCCAAAAGTATGAAAAAAAAAATTTTTACCACATGAAATGTTAATTTTAATACACACAAACTGAAAAAGGCATGCACAATTACATGACACTTACTTTTATTGAAGATCTGGTGATGATTGATGGGATGGGAGGAGGGGAGAGAGTGTGTTAGTGTTTAGAAGGGGAATCCCCTTCCATTAAGACTTGAGGTGTCGAGTCCTTTTCTGGGGTTACTTCCCTTCTTCTTTTAATGCCACTAGGACCAGCTTCAGAGTCACTGGACTTCTTTCGCACAACATATCTGTCCATAGTGGCTTGTACCTCTCGTTCCTTTATGACTTCCCTAAAGTGTTTCACAACATTGTCAGTGTAATAGTCACCAGCACGGCTTGCAATAGCTGTGTGAGGGTGATTTTCATCCATGAAGGTTTGCACTTCTAGCCACTTTGTAGTAGGCAATTTCTTCAATTTCTCTCTCCCCTCCTTTGAACCAGTTTCCTCAGGTCTGGCCTCTTGCTGTTGAAGTTGATCTATCAGCTCATCAGTGGTTAGTTCTTCATTGTCCTCCTCCACCAACTCTTCCACATCATCCCCACTAACCTCCAACCCTAAGGACTTTCCCAATGCCACAATGGATTCCTCAACTGGCATAATCCTCTCAGGGTTAGCCTCAAACCCTTCAAAATCCCTTTTGTCTACACATTCTGGCCACAGTTTCTTCCAAGCAGAGTTCAAGGTCTTCTTAGTCACTCCCTCCCAAGCCTTACCTATAAGGTTTATACAATTGAGGATATTAAAGTGATCTCTCCAAAAGTCTCTTAGAGTCAGTTGAGTTTCTGAGGTCACTACAAAGCACCTTTCAAACAGAGCTTTTGTGTACAGTTTTTTGAAGTTTGCAATAACCTGCTGGTCCATGGGCTGCAGGAGAGGAGTGGTATTAGGAGGCAAAAACTTCACCTTAATGAATTTCATGTCCCCATAAAGTCGCTCTGCCACGTCTGTAGGATGACCAGGGCATTGTCTAACACCAGGAGGCACTTAAGTTCTAATTTCTTTTCAGTTAGGTAATCTTTCACATTGGGGGCAAATGCATGGTGTAACCAGTCATAGAAAAAGTCCCTAGTGACCCATGCCTTACTGTTTGCCCTCCACAGCACACACAAATTCTCCTTGAGGACATTCTTTTGCCTGAACGGTCTGGGAGTTTCAGAGTGATACACTAATAAAGGCTTCACTTTGCAATCACCAGTAGCATTGGAACACATCAACAGAGTAAGCCTGTCTTTCATAGGCTTATGTCCTGGGAGTGCCTTTTCCTCCTGAGTAATGTAGGTCCTGCTTGGCATTTTCTTCCAAAACAGGCCTGTTTCATCACAATTAAACACTTGTTCAGGTTTCAGTCCTTCACTGTCTATGTACTCCTTGAATTCCTGCACATATTTTTCAGCTGCTTTGTGATCCGAACTGGCAGCCTCACCATGCCTTATCACACTATGTATGCCACTACGCTTCTTAAATCTCTCAAACCAACCTTTGCTGGCCTTAAATTCACTCACATCATCACTAGTTGCAGGCATTTTTTTAATTAAATCCTCATGCAACTTCCTAGCCTTTTCGCTTATGATCGCTTGAGAAACGCTATCTCCTGCTAGCTGTTTTTCATTTATCCACACCAATAAGAGTCTCTCAACATCTTCCATCACTTGCGATCTCTGTTTCGAAAACACAGTTAAACCTTTGGCAAGAACAGCTTCCTTGATTGCCTTTCTGTTGCCCACAATAGTAGAGATGGTTGATTTGGGTTTCTTGTACAACCTGACCAGGTCGGCGACACGCACTCCACTTTCATACTTATCAATGATCTCTTTCTTCATCTCTATTGGAATTCTCACCCTTATTGCTGTAGGGTTGGAACTAGAAGCTTTCTTGGGGCCCATGGTCACTTATTTTCCAGATAAAGCACCGAAAACACTGTAATAATACAAAATATTCCGATTGTATGCTTGGATGTTACCGCGGAGGCTGGCTGGTAAACAATGCCACCGGCGGAACATACGAGACTGGCTCAGGCCGCACATTGGACGCGTCTCGGACGAAGGGCGGTGAGCGGGTTTTTGGGCGGTATGCGAGGCAAAATTTTAGCGATCAAAGCGTCCGGTATGCGGATTGTACGGTATGCAATGCGTACGGTATGCGGGGGTCCACTGTATAAAGGTAATGATATATTGTACAGCATAATGTCCAAAATGATTACAGTACCAGTCATTGCAACATAATTTTATTTTTTTTCAAAAAGTTGGCCGTCTCCCACCGAGGCAGGGTGACCCAAAAAGAAAGAAAACCCCCAAAAAGAAAATACTTTCATCATCATTCAACACTTTCACCACACTCACACATAATCACTATTTTTGCAGAGGTGCTTAGAATACAACAATTTAGAAGCATATGCTCACCATTAGCTTTAAGGAATTCATCGATTTGTTGTGTTTCTTCAAGTCTCTCAAAGCTGAGGAGCTCCATACCAATGGTGTGGCAGTACTCATAGGCCAGGAACCAGTTCAGCTGTGGTGAGTAGGGTGACGCATTTGAGATAAAGTACCGAGAATCTGCCACCTCCACCGTCTGTATCCGCTGCTGACCTGGGTATTGAGGCAAAACAGGTTCAGGTATATGCAGGGAAGGAAGCTATGTGGTTTATAATGTAAATTTAAGAGAAATTTCCCTGCTGAGAAAGCAGGGCTATTTTGGAAGCATCAAAAACTTGCATTAACAAGCAAGAAAAAAATACAGCTGGTTTTAAGGCAGCTAAGGTACTCTTCATCTTGCTTCTCTATGCACATGCAGCAGGTGACTTTAAGTGCATGCTAATGCTAGTTAATAATATGCAATGCTCTCACTTAAAGTGCATGCCTATATTAGTTAATGATATGCAGTGCTCTCACCTCGCATACTGAGTATTCATGGTTCGATTCCCAGCCAGGTGGAAACATTGGGCATGTTTTCTTACACCTGCTGTCCCTGTTCACCTAGCAAACAAGGAGGTACCTGGGTGTTAGTCTACTGGTGTGGGTCGCATTCTGGGGAACAAAATTAAAGGACCCCAGTGGAAATAAGACAGACAGTCCTTGATGATGCACTGATTTTCTTGGGTTATCCTGGGTTGCTAATTCTCTGGGGTAAAAAATCTGAACAAAATCTTACCTTTCTCATCTCTTAGTCCTCATACTTTAAAATGTCAACCCGAAACCTGTTCGCCTGTTTTTTATTCCTGCAGTCAGGATGTACTTGGTGAGAACCTTTCATTCCTGTATTCATCCTCAAAATTTGCCATCTGTGGACATAAGTGTAAAGATTGTGTTTTTAACACTCATTATGGCATCTCTGATACAGCTATTAGATCGAGGAGTTAAGATATTTAAGTGCCACTACACATGCAAGGTAATCACAGCAATTTATTACAACTCTGAGACTGTTATATTAGAATTCTGGCAGAAATTAAACATTACAGATGTACTTGTGCACAAAAAAAGTGTCAAGAACTGCCCCCTACCATAAATGCAGTCCCAGCAGACACAGAATACGACCTCGTTTATATTTCCTAATATACAGGGCCTCAAGTCATCCACCAACAAAATGCCCTTCCTCAGTGGACTTCTAGAGGGGTCATATGTGATGTTTGCAGCCTTCACAGAGACCCACACAAAAGATCGCTTTGACACCGAAATAAGGATAAATGGGTACAGCCTTTTCAGATGCGACAGAAAGAACAGGCAACAAGGAGGGGTTGGCCTGTATGTCAGAGTCGCTCATCTGCACAGAGATGCTGAACACAAATGATGTAGTTGAAGTTCAAACAAAGATCAAGAGCCAGAACCTAGTCATAGTGGTTGTACATAAGCCACCATATGAAACCTCCCAACAGTTAAAGGAACAGCTACTGAAAATTTATTACTGTCTGGAAAGCCTCCTAGCCCCATCCCCGAACATCGTACTGCTTGGTGATTTCAGCCTTAGGCATATAAAATGGAATAATGTAGCAAATAACATTATAGCAGAAACAATCCCTGGAGGCAGTGCAGATAAAAAGTCACACGCACATGAGCTGCTAAATCTCTACAACAAACATACCCTAAGTCAGTAGATAGTGGAGCCAACAAGACTGGAAAACACACTTTACCTTATTTTCACAATGAGGACCTGGTAAGACACATAATATAAAAAATGACTAATTCTGATCACAGTCTAATCGAAGTTCAGACTTACATGCACAGGGGTCCTGACCAGCAAAATGCACATAGCTGTGAGAGTGTCTTCACCAAATACAACTTCAACAAGAACATCAACTGGGATCAGGTGAACCATGTCTTAAATGAAGCATATTGGGAAGATATCTTAAATAACATGGATCCAAACAGTACCTTGAAAGGATCAACTTCCTGACAGCTGAAGTATATTCAAGGCATATTTCCCTAAGAAAGAAGAAGGAAACTGGAGGGAGAAAGATGCTCCCTCTACAGAAGACAACGAAGAATTACTGAGCTCCTCAAGAATGCTAGATTTTTTGATACATGGAAGGAAGCACTGGCCAGTGAAGTGGAAAGTATTGAGCTTAGGTTAAAGGATTCATGCAGGATCCAGGAAAGACAGGAGAACCTAAAAGCAATTAGTGAAATTGAAAGAAATTCGAAATATTTCTTTTCATTTACAAAAAACAAGACAAAAACCACATCTAGTATTGGGCCCTTACTCAGACAAGATGGGACTTAAACAGAAATGAGTGAGATACTGAAATCTCAGTACGACTCTTTGTCTACAATAAGTTTATTCAGGTATACACAAATACAGTTACATAGATTATCATACATAGCAGCATATGTGTGTAGAACCTAGGATAACCCCAAAAAAGTCAGATAGGGTGACTTATTTCCATTGGAGTCCTTTGGAACCTAGGATAACCCAAAAAAAAATGTCACTAATCAGTCTAAAGATCGACAATCCAAATGATTTTTTTCATGAATGAGCCTCAAAACTCCGTCAATGTATGCCAGATTTCTGACATTACCCTAACTCCACTAGACTTTGAGAAAGCCATTGACAACATGCCCATGCACTCAGCCTCAGGCCCAGACTCGTGGAACTCTGTATCGATTAGGAACTGCAAGAAACCCCTTTTGCATGCCCTAAGTATACTATGGAGAAGGAGCTTAGACATGGGTGAAATACCACAGCCACTAAAATTAACGGACATAGCTCCTACTCCATAAAGTTGGCAGCAATAGCTGCCAACTTTATGGAGTAGCACGATTGCAAACCACTTGGATTCCCAAAAACTGCACAATCCGGGACAACATGGGTTCAGAGCAGGTCACCCGTGCCTCTCGCAACTACTGGATCACTATGATATGGTTTTGGATGCACTGGAAGACAACAGAATGCAGATGTAATATACATAGACCTCGCAAAGGCTTTTAACAAGTGTGATCATGGTGTAATAGCGTACAAAATATGTGCTAAAGTGATAACTGGCAAAGTGAGAAGGTGATCTTCAACTTTCTAACCAATCAAATACAAGAGTAGTGGTAAACAGTTTTTTTTATATTTTTTTCGGAAACGTTTCGCCTGCACAACAAGCTTCTTCAGTTGAATACAGGCAAATACAACATTGAAGACAGTAGAGGCAATTTTGACGTGACCAGTCTGTCACCCTTGGTAAGAGGTGGTGCCGCATGAGCTGCAGGTTTATTTTGCAACCCATGCTTATCCTGTAAGCAGTAGCGCAATAAAACGGGATTACAGAGGTCACAATGAGTCTTTGTCAGACCCCACTGGGCATTGTTACATTGATAGAAAGGAATATTAGTCATTTCATATTTTACAATTACTTCGTATAGTTGTTGTACACAGCACAGTAAGTAATACAATCTCAAAAAATTGCTTTCGTATTACAACTAAAGAAATAAAAACACAAAAAACATTGGTCATAGCTGGACTGCAATCTCCATTAAAACAGTCTGTCCATCTAGTCGATGCAAAAAGTGGATATAACCTTAAGATTTTGGATATCATTAGCAATGAGGTGTTTGGCTGTATCCTGTTAGGTTTGCATGGAGGCGTCTCTGAAAGGTAGATGTTTGACTACTAAGACATATTGCTCCAGTGTATCTCCTTGTCTCTGTCCACACACTTTGCATTTTATGTCATTGACAACTCCATACAATGCCGTACTGCCAGAGTTACTTATAGCCTACCCTTAGTCAAGTGATTCACGTGTCTTATTCATCAACTTGTCGGTAGACCATCAATATGATACCCATGTTCTTACCTCCCACCAGAGAAACCAGTAGGGGTAGCACAGCTCCCAGCACTAGTACAGACATCTTGCTGCTCTCCCACTGCTATACTGAACACTGTCACACCCGCACCTAAGCGAGAACAGCAGGGTAATGAGTTTGGAGGTGCGTGTGTGGTACCCGCCAGTCGCTCTCTCATTGTTGCTGCCTAGCCAGGTTACTCTCTCCTACTCCCCCTCCTCCATCTTCTTCCTCTCGTCTTCTCCCTCCTCATCCTCCCAGCTTCTCCCTCTTCGTCCTCCTCCTCCCGTCTTCTCTCTTTTCTTCCAATTCTCGTCATGACCCCCACACACGCATGCGCGCGCGCACACACACACACACACACACACACACACACAGGCCAAAGACTGCAAACCTCACTCAAGGAGAAAGATCTTGGGGTGAGTATAACACCGAGCATGTCTCCGGAAGCACACATCAATCAGATAACTGCTGCAGCATATGGGCGCCTGGCAAACCTGAGAACAGCATTCCGACACCTTAGTAAGGAATCATTCAAGACACTGTACACCGTGTATGTCAGGCCCATACTGGAGTATGCAGCACCTGTTTGGAACCCGCACTTGATAAAGCACGTCAAGAAACTAGAGAAAGTACAAAGGTTTGCAACAAGGTTAGTTCCAGAGCTAAGGGGAATGTCCTATGAAGAAAGATTAAGGGAAATCGGCCTGACGACACTGGAGGACAGGAGGGTCAGGGGAGACATGATAACGACATATAAAATACTGCGTGGAATAGACAAGGTGGACAAGGACAGGATGTTCCAGGGAGGGGACACAGAAACAAGAGGCCACAATTGGAAGTTGAAGACACAAATGAGTCAGAGAGATAGTAGGAAGTATTTCTTCAGTCATAGAGTTGTAAGGCAGTGGAATAGCCTAGAAAATGACGTAGTGGAGGCAGGAACCATACACAGTTTTAAGACGAGGTTTGATAAAGCTCATGGAGCGGGGAGAGAGAGGGTCTAGCAGCAACCGGTGAAGAGGCGGGGCCAGGAGCTAGGACTCGACCCCTGCAACCACAAATAGGTGATGTGAGTACACACACACACACACACACACACACACACACACACACACACACACGCATGCGCGCGCACACACACACACACACACACACACACACAACACACACACAAACACACAAACGCACACAAACACACACAACACACAACGCACACAAAACGCACACAAACACACACACACACACACACACACACCACACACACACACACACACACACACACACACACACACACACACACACCTGGACAGACTGGACACCTGGTCCAGCAAATGGCTTCTCGAATTTAATCCTGCCAAATGCAAAGTCATTAAGATAGGGGAAGGGCACAGAAGACCACAGACAGAGTATAGGCTAGGTGGCCAAAGACTGCAAACCTCACTCAAGGAGAAAGATCTTGGGGTGAGTATAACACCGAGCATGTCTCCGGAAGCACACATCAATCAGATAACTGCTGCAGCATATGGGCGCCTGGCAAACCTGAGAACAGCATTCCGATACCTTAGTAAGGAATCATTCAAGACACTGTACACCGTGTATGTCAGGCCCATACTGGAGTATGCAGCACCTGTTTGGAACCCGCACTTGATAAAGCACGTCAAGAAACTAGAGAAAGTACAAAGGTTTGCGACAAGGTTAGTTCCAGAGCTAAGGGAATGTCCTATGAAGAAAGATTAAGGGAAATCGGCCTGACGACACTGGAGGACAGGAGGGTCAGGGGAGACATGATAACGACATATAAAATACTGCGTGGAATAGACAAGGTGGACAAAGACAGGATGTTCCAGGTAGGGGACACAGAAACAAGAGGCCACAATTGGAAGTTGAAGACACAAATGAGTCAGAGAGATAGTAGGAAGCATTTCTTCAGTCATAGAGTTGTAAGGCAGTGGAATAGCCTAGAAAATGACGTAGTGGAGGCAGGAACCATACACAGTTTTAAGACGAGGTTTGATAAAGCTCATGGAGTGGGGAGAGAGAGGGCCCAGTAGCAACCGGTGAAGAGGCGGGGTCAGGAGCTAAGACTCGACCCCTGCAACCACAAATAGGTGAGTACTCATACACACACACACACTCATACACACACACTCATATACACTCATACACACACACACACACACACACACACACACACACACACACACACACACACACACACACACACACACACACACACACACACAGTTGGAAGCTGAAGACACAGATGAATCACAGGGATGTTAGGAAGTATTTCTTCAGCCACAGAGTAGTCAGTAAGTGGAATAGTTTGGGAAGCGATGTAGTGGAGGCAGGATCCATACATAGCTTTAAGCAGAGGTATGATAAAGCTCACGGCTCAGGGAGAGTGACCTAGTAGCGATCAGTGAAGAGGCGGGGCCAGGAGCTCGGACTCGACCCCCGCAACCTCAACTAGGTGAGTACAACTAGGTGAGTACACACACACACACACACACACACACACACCACACACACACACACACACACACACACACACACACACACGGGAACAGTCTATAGTTTTAAGGCTAGGTATGATAGAGCTCATGGAGCAGGGAGAGAGAGGACCTAGTAGCAATCAGCGAAGAGGCGGGGCCAGGAGCTGTGAATCGACCCCTGCAACCACAAATAGGTGAGTACAAATAGGTGAGTACACACACACACACACACGCATGCACATACAACAGGCCTACTGTCTAATCGACATGTGCCTAGGACCAAATGGTAACATTCACACACACACACACACACACACACACACACACACACACACACACACACACACACACACACACACACACACACACACACACACACACCTTTTGGGGTACCACAGGGGCCAGTTCTGGGTCCGGTGCTGTTTCTAGTATATGTGAATGATATGACAGAAGGGATAGATTCAAAAGTGTTCCTGTTTGCAGACGATGTGAAGCAATGAGAAGAATACAAATGCGTGGACGAGGATCAGGTAAGCCTGTAAGGAGATCTTGACAGGCTGCACGCCTGGTCCGACAAATGGCTCCTGGAGTTTAACCTCAGCAAGTACAAAGTCATGAAGTTTGGAGAAGGACAAAGAAGACTGCAGACGAAATACAGCCTAGGAGGTCAAAGGTTGCAAAAACTTATTTAATGAAAAGGATCTTGGGGTGATCATTATACCGAGCACATCTCCCGAGGCGCACATCTACCAAATAACTGCTGCAGCATACGGGCGCCTGGCAAACCTAAGGAGTCTTTCAAGACACTGTACACCGTATACATTAGGCCCGTATTGGGGTATGCAGCACCAGTATGGAACCCACATCTGGTCATAAATGACAAGAAATTAAGAGAAAGTGAAAAGGTTTTGTAACAAGACTAGTCCCGGAACTAAGGAGGAGAGGTTAAGGGAAATCAACCTGACGACACTGGAGGACAGGATGGCTAGAGGGGACATGAGATCGACATATAAAATACTGAAAGGATTTGACAAGGTGGATAGGGCTCGAATGTTTCAGAAATGGGATACAGGAACAAGGAGCCACAGCTGGAAGCCGAAAACTCAGATGAGTCATAGGGATGTTAGGAAGTATTTCTCTATCCTTAGAGTTATCAGGAAGTAGAACAGTCTGGAGAGTGATGTAGTGGAGGCAAATTCCATACATAGCTTTAGGAAGAGGTATATAATAATTAAGCTCGCGGAGCAGGGAGAGTGACTTACTATCGACCTGTGAAGAGGCGGGGCCAGGAGCTCTGACTCGACCCCTGCAACCACATATAGGTGAGTACACACACGCGCATACAAATAAAAGCTAATGGGAAATGGAAATACGTTATCAAAATGTTGAATGTACGAGCTGGTGGGTGGGCGAGCGGGCGGGAGGGCGGGTAGGTTTGTGGGCGTGGTGGTTAAGAGGCTGGAGGCATGATGTGACTCACAGCACCAACTTCTTGCCCTTCTCAACCTCCCTCATCTTCCTCGTTTCCTATGTTCCCCCCCCCCCCCCACACACACACTCAGCACAGAGTGACATGTCATCCATATCCTCCACTGTGGTGGTTCCTGCTACTGCTAAGCTAAACTAGGCTAGTTATATTGGAGTGGACTAAGCAAACTTGATTAGTTTGTGTAATTGATAATGGACGACATAAATCACTCGGTTTGTGGAAGATATACGTACAGTTACAACTTTTATTAAAGGAAACATTTTGCCATAGCGGCAAAATGTCCTAATACAGAGACGTCTAAGAAAGGAGCGCTCTTCTCAGATGTGTCTATATTAGGACTAATGGAACGTTCTTGAATCTTAGTTTGTAGGTGATACCTGAAGCCTTTATGAGGCACGTGCAGTCGACAGGCTCTAAACCAAACATATTGAGTTGACATCACCACCAGTGTTGTTACATCCGCTTGTCCTTTAAGGGAGAAGTCCGGGAGGAAGGGTAATTGTTTGGTGAGGTTACGTCAGGTCACAAGTACAGTTAAGCAACCTCCCCACGCTAAATATACCTTTCGCTTTCTATAGCTTGTACGAATACATGTGTCTATTTCTAAACGACTTGAGACTAAAGTTAGATATTAGTTATTTTAATCTAGGTTATTCTATTAACCAAATTACATAAATGTTGTGTGCGTCTTAATGAGGTTTAAAGCTGAACGACTACATGGGTGTTCGTCAGGCTGCAGTCAAAAATACTTTAATCACAAAAAAATTAGACTCATATATTCAATGAGAGACGTGTGTGTGTGTGTGTGTGTGTGTGTGTGTGTGTGTGTGTGTGTGTGTGTGTGTGTGTGTTTGTGTTTGTGTGTGTGTGTGTGTGTGTTTTTGCGATATTGTCTTTTACGGCTTCTGGGCCCAAGTGCAACCCATCCTCGTAAAATTTAAAGTCGATTGTTAACATACTGTTTTTAGCAATTTCTCAATTTAGAGTAGGCTTGTTTAGGTTAGATTGTCTTTATTAAAAAAAATAACCAGTTATAACATATCAGAATGAATTGAAATAGACGTAGGTACTCAAAAATATGAAACACGAACAGAGAACGGGAATCCACCAAGCGCACATTTAAATATACAAGCAGATAATTCTCTGTTTAAGATTCGCTAACAGTCACATATCTTACTGTCTTGGCCGCAGTGAAT